GGCAGCATGGGCAGGGCAGGAGGGCTCGTCCACACCCCGCCGCGGCCCGCCTCGCCCGGGCAGCGCGGGCAGGGCAGGAGGGCTCGTCCACACCCCGCAGACCACCCGTCTGCGGCCTCGTTCTCCCGCGCTGGCTCCCGTCTGCGCCCCCCTCTGAGCCATGGGTCTGGGTCCGGGCGCCCGCCCAGGAGATACGGCCGCTAGGAGGTCAGGAGGTCCCCGCTGTGTCCCCAGACGCGGGTGGACACCGCTCGCAGGGGGCCCTCAATCACTGTCCACTTTAAGCCGGCGGGCCACAGCCTCCCCAGACAGCTGGGCGTCGGTGACTCGGCCATGGGGCAGCTTGGAGTCTGGGAGGACAGGGCGGGCTGGGCTCAGCCAACTCTAAAAACTTCAGGAACCAAGAATAGTGGCGAGGTGATGACCAAATGCTGGAGCTGAGCGGGAATGTGTCACTCAAGAAAGACAAAAAGCCAAAGACAGCTGTGGGAGGCTGTGTGGAGGCTGGCCTCTGTCTGGAAGGGAGGCCCTCCCTCCCTCCCTCCCTCCCTCCCTCCCTCCCTCCCTCCCCAGGAGAGCCAGTACCAGCCTGCGCCCTTCAGCACCCAGTCTTCCACAGCTGATGGGTTGGTTCCAAGCCTCACACACACACGCAAGTGCGCGCGCGCGCACACACACACACACACACACACACACACACACACTTCCCACTCTCTGATTTTATCCTTAGCTGACCTACAAAGAGAGCACAGGCACAGGACTTGCATGGTTCAAATGGAAGCACATTTGTCCTGAGTTCAAACCCCAGTACTGAAAAGAAAAAATTGAGAAACACACAAGCAAACAAAAAGGCACAGAGAGCTGGGCGCCGGTGGCTCCCGCCTGTCATCCCGGCTACTCAGGAGGCTGAGATCTGAGGATCGCGGTTCAAAGCCAGCCCAGGCAAGAAAATCCGTGAGACTCTTATCTCCAATAAACCACCAGGAAATGGGAAGTGGTGCTGTGGCTCAAGTGGTAGAGTGCTCGCCTTGAGCTAAAGGGCTTAGGGACAGTGCCCAGGCCCAGAGTTCAAGTCCCACGACGGACACCCCCCCAAAAAAGGCACAGAGATATTAAGCTACTCACATAAGATCATACAGCAGGCCATTCCCAGGCCTGACTCCTAGTCCCTGGCCACGTGGTTTCAGTGTTTAGATGGTGGGGTCAGGTGGACATGGGTTTGAATCCTGCCTCAGCCCCCTGGGATGCTCTCTCTGTGGGCCACTGGCTTCTATGGATTTGGTCCTTGCATGGCTGGACGGTGCTGTGACTCCTCACCTTCCCCCCCCCCCCGGGCCACCCTGCAGGATGGGAGCCTCCTCTGTCTGGACCTCCGGGCTCCTGCTGCTGCCTCTGCTGCTGCTGCTGGTGGCTGGAGACCAGGGTGAGTTGGCAGGCGGGAGAGGCAGGGAGAGCCGGGAGAGGCAGGCACAGTTGGGGTCTGAGGGACTAACAAGTCAGGACTTTTTTTTAATCCCTGAGCCTCTTCCTGCTGGTCATCAGGCTGGCTTGGTGTGCAGAACAGAATAACACAAGAATAGATGAAAAAGGTCTTTGAACAGCCTAAAGAGAACAAGACACCTGAGAGGTTATTTTTAGTCCCGCCTCTCACTGTTGCTGCTGCTGAAATGAACTGAAAAAGAAAAGGGAAGACAGAGAGGAACAACAGGCGCGTGCAAGGATGGATTAGTGATGTCTGCCTGGGAGTAGCAGGGGAGGAAAGGCATGCAGGCTTCTCCCCAAAGGGCCCCCCCCCCCGGGGCCCAGACTTCAGAAATCCCTCCCCGGTTTTGCTCTCCCTACTTGCTGGGCCTTAAGCAAGGTCAGCTATCTGTCTGAGCCTCAGTTTCCCCAATGCTTCCGAAAGATGACCCTCAGCCATCCCCATTTTGAACGGGGGGGCAGAGCCCAGAAGGGACGGGACCCCTTGCCTCCCACCCCCGGCCTGGGCCCCGCCTGAGCCGGGCCCTGTCCCTGTCCTCCCCACCAGGCACCCCGGGCGCGCCGGCCTCCGGCCCGGAGAAGGGGCTGCGCATGCGCAAGGCCGGG